TACTTAGTTTCTCGTGCGCACCAGATACTTTCTCGTGCACTCTACTTCGTTTCTCGTGCGCACCAGATACTTTCTCGTGCACTCTACTTAGTTTCTCGTGAGCACCAGTTACTTTCTCGTGCACTCTACTTAGTTTCTTGTGCGCACCAGATACTAATTGTCTTGATGCCAAAAAAGAGCTCAACAGATTTTACTTTAACAAGTGGAGGAGCACGGCTATCGCCATAGTGTTCCCCTTGATTTATGCATATAAATAACTTTATTATAATTCATGCAGGAAGTTTTACAGATTATATGGACACTGCAATGTAAGTAAAACAGGAAATAAAAACAGAAAAAAAGGAGAACAATTGAGAGATAAAAGGGAAAGAATGATAAAACATCTTCTGTCTTCTTCATAACTTGCAAAGAGATATGAAAAAAAAACAGCACAACCAACAGATATAGTATAAGATATACAATAAAGTAACATTTTTCATACTATCGCTGAAGTATAACTAATATTATAGAATCTGACATGTATACTGTGGTAGCTGAAGATATGTATAAAAGCTTTCCACTGCAAAAATGATCTAAAAAGAAGTAAAAAATTCTTATATTAAGTGTTTTTACCCTTAATTTGAGTAGGTAAATGCAATAGTTTGCCAATGGAATGAGTGTTTTTAGTCTTAAAATAAGATAATTCGATGATATGCACTTGAAATAAGATAATGCAATTGTGTTTTCTTATTTTTAATCTAAATTGTCTTGTTCTATTGGCAAAATGTCTCTTTTATCTCCTCAATCCAAGAACAAATGCACTTATTTTAAGAAAAAATGACTCATCTAGATTTGGATTTTTTCCAGTATGGAAGTGAATCTCTAAGTACCTAGAACCAAGCACCTGTAGTTGATTGTGAAAGTGCACTTGTGCATGTAAAGTTTATCCAAAGGAAAATTGCTCAATAGTGGTTTTTAGGAGCCAAAGAAAGAGGTTAGAATGAAACCGCTACAGATCATCCATTTTCTTTAAATCGCAGTTAAATAAAGTTTTATTTTGGACGATTTATTGGTTTGTAGTCTTTCAGAACTTGTGTTCCTTTAGAGTTCTTGGTGCGTCATGTGATTATCACAGCAGTAACGGCTCCTCTGGGCTCTATGTTTCTCCTCAGACAGCCACTTGAGACTGTTTGTCAGCAAAGATGGGAGCACCGCCCTCGCCGGGACGCAGCTCGCCACCAGGTAGACTTCCAGGCCCCAGGAACCATGCCGGTTCTTAGAGCTCATCCTGATCCCAGCTTGTGTTTGTCTTCCAGAGGAACGCCTGGGATCTTTGAGCCGGTGGTGATAGAGACTCGCTGAGATTCCTCCTGCTCCTTCCCCTGCTGGCTCTGTCGGAGATTGTTCTCGTGTGTTAAATCCGGTGGTGGGAGGCAGTATTTTGATGCTGTCTAACAAAGCGATAGCAGGAATGTAGTTTGAGCGAGTCAAAGTCCAGGTGCGCCCGACCGCTCAGGATGATTCCATCAATTCTGTTTAATCCAGCAGCAAAGACCTGGCAGGATCCAGGCCTGGCGCCATCTTTTACGTTTTCATGTTTTTTTCATCCTGATCTCCAAACTGCAGCACACTAAAGGTTAGCGTCGCAGGGGCTCACCACTACGTTTCACTTTATCTTCAGAAAATGGATAAGATGTAGATTTATTTTAAATGTTTAATTTTTTCTACCAAAACTGACCTAAGGAAATGGATAAAAAGCTGCAAAAAATCAAGAAAACAGGTGATAAAACCCAAACTAAACCCCAAAAAAGTTTCAGATCAGCTGATTTCTATTTTGCGAAAATTTATAACTAAACTTAAAAGTTTGTGGCGTTTAAAGGAAAAGTCCGGTCGGCAAGAAATGATCAATGGATCATTATTTATACCTAAAACTA